CAAGATATGGGGCATCGCTGTGAATAGATTGAAAACTCACTTGTAGTGCTAGTAGTTGATGTGGTAGCAGTGCTGACTGTTGAAGAGGTCGTATTTGTTGTCGGTGCACTCGTTACCCAAGAGATCGTCACATTGCTGATGATTGTACTGCTCGATGATGTCTCCGATATGGCACGGCCTACAAAAATTCATTTAATGATATATTTAAGACCCTATTACAGATTATACAACTTTCACTCATCTCCTTGTGAAATTAAACATCTCTACACGTGTACGCAATACATATGTTTCGTTGGCTATATTGTGTGATTGAAATGAAATATCTCAGCGAAACAATACTCGAAGTTGTATGAATATTTTTTTAATTCTGATTGACATGTATTTGCTTTGCATAAACAAAAGAAAATTAAATTTAGCATAAAAATGAATTAGTATTATTATTTGTTTACTGTTAATTTTTTTCTTTTGAAAGAAAAAGATGTTTGGAGAAGGGGCAATATGGTTTTTTTTCTCTACTAAAGCATCTTTGATAGTCATCATCGATACTACGATGATTACCATTCATAGTCAACAGAACAAAAAACAATATTAGTAAAAGAGCTTGTTAGCGCAGCTCATTTGGAACTGAAATATGAAACTCGCATTCTCCGTATAAGAAAAAATGATTTTTAATTCCTGTTGTTAAGATCTGTAATGGAACATGGAAGGAGAGCTGGAAAAGTTCGACTTAAAACTTACATTCACTATTTTTTTCAAATATAGATGTGAATATCATAAAAGAACAATAAATCAAGACACGCACCTTGTCTAACAACAACGATGACAACAATCATTGCAGCTAATAAGAGAATCAGCAGCACCGATATAGTGAACAGGAAACAAATTCGACGGAATCGATTCCTGCAATGAAAAGTGAAGTAATAAAATTTGTATCCATCAATGAAACGCTGGCAATTAACTTGACAAAAATGGACTCCAAAAAATTGAAAACTTTCAATTTGAATCATGAGAAACTCAGACTTTCTCAATTGACTGTCATTTACAGTATAATATGAGCTTCATATGCATCAGCTCTTATGATGTATGAGTCCAGGTATATTCACGATGGGGTTTATCAATTCATGCCTCTCATGACGACAAGCCGATGACACTAGTAATCCAATGTGGCTTGCAGAAACTATCTTCATCGTCAAAGTGTTTATTTCGTCTGTGTCTCTTGCGAGCTATGATTGTGACATGTCACATCGTTCAGTCTTCCATGGATAAATCTAAATTTCTTTTTAAATGCATCAGAACAGTTCGATTGTGCTTAAACTCGAGTTGTAAGAGACTTCCTCAATACAATTTTAATTCAAATCTCTTGGCAACTGTACTTCCCAACGCTTTCGATAAAAATTTAAGATGTGCGTTAAGAATGATGAGATCCATACCTATTTGTTAGCAGAGAGTGGTAGATGTGCCGTAATACACATGTGGAGTGCGTTACAAATCAAGTATTTTCTTTTAATTTAGAAGCATTAAAAAAATCAATGAGTAGCTCTAAATTTGATTTCCTTGACTTTGATTACCCCTTAGTCAAGTTTCGTTGAAAATATTTCATTTATGCACAGATCACAACAAAATGTCAATAAAATCAAAGTCTGACAACAAATGTGACCTTGATATTGGTTGAAATGCCGTGTATCTTTGCAAATAGTACTAAATATGAGATAACTACTATTAATTTATACCCAAAATCGATTATGACAGCAAAAATCTGTTTGAAGTTAGTTTTTCTAGGTAAGCATGCATTTCATTATGCGAGCGCATGCATATTTAAAACTATGGCTTTCGGAAAAAAATATCGAAAGTTACTATCTAACAGGATATGGGTATGATAGAAGAGAATGCAATCGCAAGCAGCAACAGCCACATCTCAAGTGTCAAGCCGTTATCCCAGCATAAGGTTGCCTCCTTGCTGTACACCACTCTAACTGATCACTTATAAATCGTTGGTAACGAAAGACTGCATGTTTGGTTTCAATTAAAATAAGAACTTATGTTGTTTTTCTGGAGACACTAGAGTAACGTGGCTGCTTGAACGCCATCGTTCTTCCTGTCGGTACGACACTGTCCTGATATTTTCGCTTATGTGTCACTATTATCGTTCACCCAACAGGAGAACTCTGTCAAATGGATGTACTACTCATAGTCACTGAATTGGAAGAATTTAAATTCGAGTTCATTGATCGAAACTTCCCAGACACTATCAGGTCTCAGCATGATCAATATACGATCACAAGGAATGATGAAATCCTCGCCTAACCTCACAACTCGAGTTCGTTTTTCAAACTCAATCGGATACACATTGTATTTTGACATGACAATCAGAGTCGACTGTTAACAGATGTGTTGATTCATTTATGACTAATTGATATAATCAGAAAACAAAAATCGCACTATCTTTTCACGGCTAAGATAAAGAGCCACAATGTATGTATTCAAAATAGTTGAACACATGATTAATACGAAACGAGATTCGTCATGCAAAACTTTGTATAAATGTGAAACTTACTGGCTACCACTAATTGTTGCTTGTTGTGACTTGCCTATTTTCATGAATTTATCTTCGATTTTGGGGAGTTTCCGATTATGTTGTTGATTGATGGAAATCCTTGGTACCTAAATATTAGGATGCGAATTAGTATTATTGTTCAGTTTCAGAGGAAGACAAACCCATGAAAGATAAGGACGAGAAGACCTAGCACGGTTATTCCATCGAAGATCTCCTGTTGAATAGTGTTCCATGGTTTTTGGGTGATAGGGTAACGGTGAGATTCTTGACAGTTGCATGACACTTGCTTGATTCATTCGATTGTGAAGAAATATAACTAATTTAGTTAGTATGTAAATGCTTTATTTATATACTACTTCTATAGTTTTGTCCGTGGACAAGTCGCTCATGATCTCATCATAAGAAGCGAAGCACTACATTGTTTCAATCAAAATCAATCTTCTGCCTGATATTTTTACGAAACAAAGTGAAACAGAAAATATGAAATTAATAACGACCAATCATTACTGTTGCCTTAAATTCTGAATACGGCCGTTTTTTTTTAATGAAACTTGTATTCGACTTGTTGATTCAATAGATGAAACAATGCATTGTTTTGTCTATTGGAAATTAAATAAAATATTGTTTCTGTTTCTATAATTTGAATGCCAGAAGCCAACTTCGTGATTATTGATAGGATGTATTGTTAGTTAAAATGCAATGGCAGCCATAAAAATTAATTCAATACATACAGTAAAGAGTATACCAATCGAATTATTATTACTATTGTGCATCGTGATCAGTAATGACTGTTAAAGAGTATAAGAAGAAAAACGAACTGTCCTTCCCACACATACATACAGGTTATGACTAGCTAGTCGTTTTATATACCATGACCTGTGTGTCGAGAGAAGAATTTTTGACATCTTAGTCTTTGTTCTACAAAAATCTACCACATATCAATTATTTTCGGATTACCTTGAAATGTTGTCAATCAAGATTAATATTATCTTTTTGCTATTGATAGGCGAGGGTGGATGTGTGAGTCTGGGCCTGTACCTAACACCAAAAGGAAAGAGTATAGAAAAAAAATATCAATATACCGAGTAAATGATGTTTTTCAGCGTGAATAAATCCAGCAAACGATAGCAGATGTGGTGTGACATTGGTGAGTGTAGATGTGGGGTACGGGTATGGGTGTTGGTGTGTAGATGTTGGTGTATAGATGTGAGTGTGAATGAAAAAATCTCCCATACCATTGTAGCCTTGAACAGTTGGTTTTATAACGAAAAGAGATCTCATGACTTCTTTGATAACTTTGATCTTGAATTCAATCAGATTTTTTTCATCGAACTCAAACCTCAAGTTGCCAAAATAAGTTATTGAAATTCTTTTGTTGACCCCAAATTCCAACTTTTATCGAATAGTAATATGTCGTGTGACTGCTTATTCATATCGATTCGAAAACATTCTCATATTTGAAATATCTTATTTGAAACAGTGTGCACAAAGACTGAAAGGATTTTTGATTGATTTAACACAGCTAATGTCGCTATTTTAAGACATTTGAGATCAGATGATTTATTCTCGAGCTTTTTTGTTGTACATTTTTTATTATCTTTTTAATGATTATCAATATTAGTTGATTCATGTAAAGCATATCTAATATGTTGATGAGCAATACTAGATTGAGAATGATGCAAGCTGCTGATAGCTATAGGATAGTCAAAATTAGCAACACAAGCAGAGATTAGATAAAATGACAATTTTTCAAACTAATTTTTAATAGATATATCACAAAATATACGGGCTTGTTACGGAGTGTTCATCATTAATTAAATTGATATCTAAATATTTCTAATTTTCAATTTTTCGTCGTTTATCTTTCATTTTGAAATATTTTCTACTAATGAATTATTTAAAAAAACATATCATTTGTTTCTGTCTTATTTCTGGAAAGACAGACATGTCGAAATTTCACTTTTTTTAACAGAAATAATGGTTTTAAGTCGGTTTTTATGCGTCTTTTTTCGACTATGTCCAAAAAAGGATAAAAAGTCATATTTTTGTTTTTATTTTATTTTTTTTCTGATTCATTTTTCTGTCAAACTTCGGCATATTTATACAGATAAATGGTGGACAGCTTATCGCAATCAAATACCTTCCATTTTACCTCAGAAAAATTGAAATTTTGAGCATTTATGATTAAAAATTTCTTATTCAACTTCGTTCATGTCAAATCATATTTAGGTATGGCTGTGGATACGAGTATATATGGTAGTTGGAACATACGGGTTCAGGTTAGTCTTATACTTTGTCATGCTCAGATCCACAACCACACCCATGTCTATTTGCCATCCATCAATTAATCGAATACAAGCATATTTCATTTATCCTAACTTGAGAAGAGTGTACTGTTTAAAATGTATTTAGTCACGACGATGACAAAATTGTTTCATTACAATAATTAATTATGTTCAATTTTGAATTGTTGCACCCGGTGATTTCGTTCATCGAATCCATAAAGATTACCATGTCGATCGAATGATAAGCCAATAGGATAATAGAATTGATTTGCTTCTGTTCCTTCAACGTTTGCACCAGCGATTATATCTCCATGTGAAGCTCCGTTAATCCAACACATCACTCGGTTATTTATACAATCTGCTATATAGACGGTGCCCAAAGCATCAACAACCACGCCAAGAGGATGTAACAATTGTGTTATATCATTTCCCGAACCTTGACCACCAGCTACAAGGATTCCTTCGGTTGTAGCCTCTAACCATTTTATAACACGATTATTATCAGTATCTGACACATAGACTGACTAATTTTTATCAACAGAGATGTAAAGAGGAATGTTAAGTTGATTGAGACCATATCCTTGTCCATTGCCACCAGCTACTATTGATTATTTTTTGCATATCTTGTATCCAATATCTCCTAACTTGACTCATTTCTATGTCAGAAACGTAGACAAATTCCTGATCATCCATTGCCAATCCTCTACAATCTATATTGTCAATCATTATTTCGCCGAATGTTGTACTATTTTGGCAAGTCCATCGCATCAATCGTCGATTCCCATAATCGCCAATGAAAAGACTCTCTGTTTTCTTGTCTATGATTACATCTGTTCGATAACTCAGCTGATCCAGCTGATATCCTTGTCCTTTTTCACCAGCGACTACTTGACCACTTTTTTCGTTATATTTCCATTCTACGATACGATGATTTAAGAAGTCAGCAATATAGAGAGTTCCATCTTCATCTACATCGATACCTCGAGGATGATTGACCTGGTTCAATGCATTTCCTGGACCATTACCTCCGGCAACGGTAAAGCTATTGCTCGTCCACCAAGCATCGGTAGAAATACTGAGAAGAGTTCGAGCTAAAGTGAGGGTGTGGGTGTGTGGCGTGAGTGTGTGGGTATGGGTGTGTAGGTGTGGGGTGTGGATGTGAGTGTGGGGTGGGTGTGGGTGTGTGGGTATGGGGTGGGTGTATGGGTATGGTGTGGGAGTGGGTGCGCATGAGAAGAAGATAACACCCACACCCACCCACCCACACCCCACACCGACACCCCACACCGACACCCACAACCACACCCACACCCCACACCCTTAGCCAATAAATTTTGCTTTCTTTCTTTCTATATACACATATATTGAGGGTGTGATTCTTCTTAACATATACCAAAATAGTATGGACGCTCAGCCAAAAAAAAAAACAGCTCAAATATGTGAAACAATAGCAAATGCTCTATGATTGGTTGTTTTTTTTTTGGAAGGGGCTAGTTATAACATTGGTATCAGTAGATAGAGAAAATTTTTCTCTATCGAACTGTATATTTAGTTTAAAAAAAAAGAGGCAGTGCCATGAAATCATCAAAGTACTCTGACCAATCCTAACACAGATCATTTATAATGACGTTATTATTGAGACGGCATGGTCAAAAATTTTGTTTGAGTTTCTCAATTTTTTAGTCAAATCGAGCTCTTCCATTATTAGTCGATACGCTGAATTGATTGGAAAGTGCCACAGAACTCGATTCTCTCTACTTACGACGTTTCAGTAAGTGCATTTCGTTGCCATAGGATATCATATTTTGTTAGACAGATATCTTAAAGACCGTTCTTGGGCTAGAGAAATGGACTTCACCACTTTTTATAGACCTAGTACGAGAATGTACTGTGTTAATAGTATCTTCCAAAAATGAGTCTAGACATGTGGCGCCCCCCAAAGTGCATTATTTGATATTGATTTGATGAGTCATGGGCTGAGCATACATACTAAAAGGTCTGTTATTGTCATTTTTTTTGTATAAAAAAAGTTCACTATTTATTTAAATACTTTTTATTGAAAATATTTTCTCTTAATTTAGCTTGATAACTTCAAGCTAATTCAAATTTTATTGCTATCAAACACGTATTTATTTTTATTTGCATAATTCAATTAATAATTTAATGGTAAGTTTGACTATCTGATATTTTAATCCAATATTTTCAATCTAGTATATATTGAAGACCTTTACTATAAATATATCATTTAAAATGATAACACTTTGAATTTATTATAGTAACAGTTAGACATGAGCGGGACCAGCCGTTTTTGGTCCCGGTCCCGCTAGGACTTGAACCATTCTGCACATATCTAGTAACAGAATATTCTTTTAGCATTGCCGAATATTTACACACAGCTGAAGATATTTGTTTTGTTTGTCGATATATTTCAGCAAAAAGATTAACATTCCGTTGAATAGGTGTATAAAAAAATATATGCCTGTATGACAACTTGTCTTTTCTAATGTTTTAGATTCGTCGTTGATCCATTTCGTAGAAGCTGGAAATAGAAATTTTTCCGCTAGTATTATCATATGAGGAAAAATCTTTGAATAAAATTTTTGATTCGGATGATTGTTCGATAGTCGTGCTTGGTATTAGTTGTTATAATGTTAGAAAAGAGCAATTCTAACACATCTGATAAAAGGTTCTTCATATTTTCATGCAAATGTTTTGTGGAACTCACGTATATTTTCGAAGAAAATAGTGAGTATAAGTTTTCATTTCGAGGTTCTGCAGCTCCTCCCCCCTCCCCATTACAGACACATAGTAACGGGAAAGAGAACATTACAGACATACCCCCCATTACAGACACCCCACCATTACAGACCTTAGCAACCACGCATAGAAGGCTTTAGATTCTATATAATATATCAGTGCTTTCATGAATACTCGAAAAAACGCTATTTCGAAGTGTAAAAGTTAGGCATCAGAATAACAAGTTTCAAAGATATACGTCAGTTCCATATTTTAGCTCCTTTGGAGCTGCGCTAACGAGCTTTTTATATGTATACGTGAGTTATGAACTTTTGACGTGGTTATACTATAGAGAGCATTGGTTAAAATTTCTCTTATTTCGTTTAGGTTTTTGGATTTTAAGATTGATTAAATATTAGAAATAAGCATAATAAAAGTTTGGAGAACATATTGTTTTATATTTATCTAGTAAATAGTGGTTATTATTTTTTTTAGATAATATGATAAGTAAATTGGAAATACTTCCAAATGAAACACTTTTGAATGTATTCTTTTATTTATCATGGGATGAAATCTTAATATCATTTTGGTCATTAAATAAACGTATTAATTCTCTTATTTGTTCAATGTTTTCAATAAGTAATAAAAAAGGAATTATTTTAAATAAGCCAGGTTTATCTTATAAAAAGTTTTCGAAAACTTTATCATTGATATTAAATGCGTCATCACTTTTATCATCTATTAAATCCATTCATTTTGATGGAATTAATTCATTTTCTTTTGATTCTATTTATGAAAATATTTTTTACCATGATAATAAACCAATTGTTTGCTTTCCTAATCTTAAATCACTTTATATTAGTCAATGCTTATTATCTCAACCATTAATTCAACTGTTATGTTTTCTTATTCAATTGAAATTAGAACATCTTACATTAACATTTCATGAAGGTAACTATACGACATCTGATTATAGAAAAGAAGCCCCATCAAACAGTTCTGATCAAGGTAATCAACAATTTATATGAAAATGTTTCTTAACAAAAACATATTTTAACATGAGAAGTTAAACTTTATTTAGTGTAAAGATATAAAGCCAAGGATAAGCCATAAATTTACAGATATATCTTATTCGATATGATAGTCCAAGATGGAGCTCATAGAGTTCAAAAATTTTCGATTCGAACTAGTCTCGAATTCTACTCGTGATACTCAATAAAGTTTTCACTTCGTATTAGATAGTTGGTCAGAAACACACTTTGAAGTTTTTTCAATCATTCTTGATAATGATCCTATAAGAATCCAGTTGTGATTGACTTTTTGTTTCAATGTGTTGTTTGTGAACTAGTATCCCGAATTAGTTCAGACAAAATTCTTAAGATGCGGACCTATTCAACGGGAAATTTTTAGACGAGGACGCAAAGGCTTCGAGCGAAAGACAAGTTTAGATCTTTTTGGAAATTATTTTTTTATCCTATCCAAAATGGAATTGGCTAAATTAAAAGCAAATAACTTGCATAAGACATTGATTATCAACTTTGTTAATAGCAAATAATGTAAGTTTTAAACAAATAAATTGTTTTATGATGAACTCACTTTTGTTGGTAGAGCATCGAAAAATAAAATGAAAAATCAATCACGATTACAGGTTCTTTAGGGATTAATATTACTATGAAATGTTTTAGTGACTAGATTAAGTTTACTGATCAATAAATAGAGGAATCATTTTCAAAATGGTGAAAAATAGATTCTAATCAATATGAGTAAGACAAAGATAATTAATTTTTCGATTAATTTGAATTTAGCGCGAAAAATATTTTTTGCATTAATTTTTTTAAATATATTGTAAATATGTTCATATATTCGGAGGAGAATTTCAAATAATAAGGTTTCAATAATATTAATATTCACAATATAAAAAGACAAATTCAATAAATGTAGAATCTAGGCTTCTCTATATAATAGAATTATGCATGTTTATTTAGTTCATTATTTTTCAAATTCGAAAAATAAATTAAAATTTGTTAACGACCGAATATTATATTCATAGAAAATCGTAACATCTTTTATATTCGAAAAGGTATTAATAATATATTGTTAAATTCTCGTATTAGTTTGTGACTGAAAACAAAAATCAGAATGTTAGTGCTTAAAAAGGATTTCGGATCTTCGCTAATAAGATTTTCGTCAAATAGCACTTTCGACAGTGGCGAAACTCCACTATCCTCTCATCAATACACCCACTGGAATATCGCCAGTTGGCGAAAGTTTACTGTACTTTCGCCAACATCTCTCGTGGAATTCTGCCAATTGTATTATGAATTAAACTCACATACATCCTATGTTAATATTGTTTTGTAGCAATTGGCTAAAGTCTGCTGTACTTTTGCCAAAGCATCCACTGGAAATTCAATACTTGACGAAAGCACAGTGAACTTTCTTCGATATATTCCTGGACTTTTGCCATTTGCAAATGTCCTATTGGCGAAAATTTTATTGGTGAAATTCCAGTAACCCGCCTAAAAAGAGAATAAAATGTATTTGATGGAAAAAAAGAATTTTATATGAAATATTTATTATAAAACTAAATATGGTTTTTATTATTATTAAACAGAGACAATGCCCAATATGTTTAAACATCTATTATGTCGAATATTTTCTAATCAATGTAAGTTAACTTCTTTGGAACTGGATATAATCAGATCGTTTGACAATATCGATCAATGTTTAAATTCCAATTCTGATTTTCAATCAAACACAATTCATAATCAACATCAATTATTTTGTTTGACTTTACATCGTTTGTACATCCATCTTAATAATATTTTTTTCCTCGAACATCTCATTGATCATATTCCGAATATTGAACAAATATCAGTTTATTTACGAAGCTCATTGACCAATGTTTCTTTTGACTCAAACATTCAAACATTCACCTTATCAAAGGAAAATTGGTTTAATAAAGTAAGATATTATTTTATCCGGAAGTCGTATGAATAAATCTTTTGATAAATCTTATTTTTTGAGTTGCTGTAAAAACTTCGAAAACAAAGAGCTCGAAATAAAAAAAAAGCCGAAAAAAAATCCCAAAACGCAAAATATCGAAAAAACAAAATCCCGAAAATAATATCGAAAATAAAAATTTAGATTTTTAACATATCCATCCATCCTTCTCTTCACCCTCATACTTTCATCATTACTCTCACATCATTCTCGCCTTCAGTCTCATTCTTACACTCATCCTTATCTTCCATTTCCTAATGCAGATTTTTTCAAATTTCAAATTTTCGAGATTTTGATTTTTCACAATTTTTATTTTCGGCGTTAT